AATCCCGAGAAACGTGCAGCTCTCCAGACATCATTAACAATAGGCAAGCATGAAAGAAAATTTACGATTGAAAATTTCTGGGGCATTATTCGGGGAGTTAGAGGAGATTACTATATTGCCCAAGGCGTTGGCCAAAACTGTATGACAGACATGGAAACAATTTACAGGTTTGTTGGACGAAACAAATATTTCCTTAGCAAGGATTGCATAAGTTGGGTAATGATGCCTGTGCCATCCCAGGCAGACATTGAAAAATCTAAGTACTTTAAAATGAGATTTACCGGTGACCCTTCTTATGAATTCGAACATACAGAACTCACTCAAGTACCTGGTGAAGGCGACGAAATCAATGAAAAAGAACGAACGGTATGTTGAATAAATAGGGTTATTTTCGCAGATCACGATGAAGGAGGAAGATCGATTGGCCGCCGTGGTAAAACGGATTGATGACGAGGTGCGCATTGTACCCAGAGGGGCATATCTTAGACTTGCAAATGGTGACATCGTAAAGAATAAAATGTATGAAGGTAAATTCATAAAGATTGTCTATATTATCTATAGGAATGGAGGTCGCCGATGCAATGAAAGCAGCTTCATACTTTCATTTTCGACCACCCATCAAGTATCCACACAAACCTCTCGAAGACAAAGTCAAGAGCGACAGATGCATTGACTTTCTAGATACGATTGAGAACGACATACCAAAAGGTAGATTTAATTTTCATATTTTATGTAAACAATATATTGTTTCACAAATTAATCTTAACAAAACGTTAGGGTATGACAAATGGAATCGTAGCTTAAACACTGAGATCATTACTTTCTCATCCATCGCGATTCCCATGCTGTAAGATAGTATAGAAATATAATATCATTAAAGCATTCCAAAAATATGAGTATAATAAAGCAATGGCACAAATTATACTGCCCCGTCATGTTCACTTTGGTTGAGAAGTAAGAGGGGAAAAGTTAAAATGTATTGAGAGCACATTCAAAATACCTTTTTTATTTTATAATATGTCAACATCTTGATGTTTAACTTACGATTGAAAGAAAAAAAATGGAAAATAACGTAACTTAGATGTCTAATATGTGTCGCGCCGGACCCATCGGCATACATAAAGTTCGAAAACCTGTGAACAGGAAAAATAAAGCATTAAAGTCCAGAATGTTTGCCCAAATCCAGCACCTACTTTTAAACGAACACTACCCATTGTGTATCCGGTTTGGAACACGTCACACAAGAAAACATTTCTCACACCAGTTCATGTGGAATGCGTTAAGAATCCTAAGAGTCATGTATGCATGCCATCTGGAACACAAAGGCTGTCTCTGCTCTTAAACAACTATGGCTTTCGATCATAAAACCCGCTAGAAATTTTCTTCTGCATCAATACAAAATTAAGATATCATATTTATTTCGAGTTCATCAAAAGTATTCTTAATT